ATCATTGGGAGAAGGTTCTTGATCACTTACCTCTTTTGATGTATCACCATCTTCAATGGCCATGAGACATAAGTTGGCCACTTCCTCCGTTTCTGAGTCTTCACTCCCGGAGCCGTCGTTCTCCCAAGAGATGTAGGCACGTTGCTTCTTCGGTGCCCTCTTGTCCTTCTCGTTCTTGAGCTTCGGACACATTGGTTTGATGTGTCCAATTTCACCACACCCATAGCATTTGGGTGGAGTGTTCTTCTTGGCTCCCTTCTTGAGCATCATCTTCTTGAATTTTCGGACAAAGAGTCCAAGGTCGGTGTCGTCGCTGTCATCATCTTCATCATCAACGTTGTTGTGGGTTGATGTTGTTGCGGGTAGAGCAATAGACCTCTTGTTCCTCTCTTCAACCACCTTTGAGAGTTGGGTGGTTTCGTAGGTAATAAGATTACCTCGAAGAGCATCATAGGTCGTTGTTTGGAAGTCACAACCTTCTTCGATTGCGTCCACCTTTGAACGCCATTTGGGGGATAGGCTTCGCAGCACCTTTCTCACGAGCTCTCGGTCGGTGTAGGTCTTCTCGAGAAGATTGAGAGGATTAATGATGTTAGAGAACCTCTCAAACATTTCCTCAATCTTCTCGTTTTCCTTCATTGAGAAGAGTTCGTACTCGTGAGTAAGATGATCGATTTTGGCCTCCCGAACCTGCGCGGTTCCTTCGCAGGTGACCTCCAATTTCTCCCACATTTGTTTTGCGGTTTCACACCGCGAAATTTTGCGGTAGTCATCCGCATTAACACCGCAATAAATCTTGTTTATTGCCTTAGCGTTGAGCTCCATCTTTTTGCAATCTTCGTCGGTGAACTCCTCTTCGGTTTTGGGAACGTTGACTTCACCGACTTTCTTCATCGGAACTCCGCAGCCGTTCTTCACAATCAACCACAGCTTGTAGTCGTTGGATTGGATAAATATTCTCATCCTCTCCTTCCAATACAAGTAGTTTGTTCCATCGAACAAAGGTGGCCTCGTGGTTGATTGTCCCTCGGTCACTCCTGCGTTGAACATCCTTGATGCCATTTGATCTTTTAGTTCCTGAAAAATAACGTATTCGAAGAACTTCCTGCTTCGATACCAATTGTTAGACAAGTGTGCAACTCTAGAGGGGGGGTGAATAGAGTTGTTTTCAAGAATGTGCGTTTTTCGCGTGTGTGAAATAATAAAATCGCAGGAATAAATAAAAGGAGTAAGGGAAAGAAGAACACCGAGATTTATACTGGTTCACCACCTCGTGGCTAGTCCAGTCCTCCGAGAGACTCTCTCGAAAGTCCTACTAATCTTCAAGCTTCAACGGGTGCTTGAAAAACCGGTACAACTTGAGAACTTGAATCACACAAGCCTCACTTTCTTACAACAACAAGACTTGANTTCAAGAATGTGCGTTTTTCGCGTGTGTGAAATAATAAAATCGCAGGAATAAATAAAAGGAGTAAGGGAAAGAAGAACACCGAGATTTATACTGGTTCACCACCTCGTGGCTAGTCCAGTCCTCCGAGAGACTCTCTCGAAAGTCCTACTAATCTTCAAGCTTCAACGGGTGCTTGAAAAACCGGTACAACTTGAGAACTTGAATCACACAAGCCTCACTTTCTTACAACTACAAGACTTGAGTCACACAAAATAGGACTAAAACATAGAGAAAAGTACCAAAATAGGACTTTCATGTTTTTTTCACGAAATAGGAATTTGCACTGTGGTAATGTGACTTTGCCCTGTTGTAATGTGGCAGTCAACATATGCAAATTCCTATACTTTTTTGGTAATGTATATGAGCATATATGGTAATGTAAGTCCTATTTCAGGAATAAAAATATAAAAGTCATATTTTGGTATATTTTCAATGTTTTAGTCCTACTTTGATTTTTCTCCCTACTACTTTACTTTAAAATGAGTACCACCCGGATGTATCTATTTCTAGGTACAGCCAGTTGTACCCTATACCTTCTCTAATTTATAATGGAAAGCAGTGACGGAGCTAGGAGGTCACAATTGGGGGGGCACACCTCGGGGGTCCGGGGCAGCACCCCCGTTTTTTTTAAAGACAACATAAAATGATTTAAAAAATTTATTTCAAAGAATAATATTATTCACAAAAAATGTAACAATAAATGTTATTATTATGAATAATACAAAATGTTAGTTCTTTTTCAAAATAACAATTTGGTTAATTAATTATTTATTACTAAGTAACAAATTTAATTTGTCCGAAATTGTATGGATTAATTCTTATACTCCGTAATAAAATAACAACAATAATAACCCAATTAGATTAGAGGTGTATTTACGTAGACCTTTATTAATAAAATAAAAATATTATTAACTGAACACAAAACAAACTAATTGAATATTTAATAGACTTAATCATCTCTCAAAAAACACATGAATAAATATTTACTCCGTAATGAATAAAGCAAAAAATATGGAGTACAAAGCATTTAAAAAACGGGTGAAAATGAGATTAGGATTGGAGAAAATGCTAAAAAGGAGCGGCCCATTTGTTTTAAAACCCTATTTACGTGCCTAGAGCCTGAAATTATTTTTTTCACAAAACGCCACCGTTTAGTTTAGTTAAAAAAAAATGATTCAGTAAATCCTCCGTAGAACCATTTTGCAGCGAGAAAAAGAGCAACGATGGGAACTAGGTCTAGGGGAAGTTCACTCGCGCATCGGAGGGGCACCACGACGCCGGTGACTAACATACGCTTGTAGATGGCTCTTCACCGGACCTCCGACGGGGGCACGTGCCCCGGCAGCCACCCCCTCTCCGCCGCCCCTAATGGAAAGGAACGACATTCTACTCACGTACCACACGCTCACTAAATTGATTTTGATAGGTGAAAATATTCAACATCACCGTTTGCCATTACCCATGTTCTAAGAATCTAATCTAAGGAGCAAAACCCAACAATACATCCAACTCTCCAAGCATCAAATTCTCAACCCCGTCTGGAAAACGAAATGTATAACCAAACACAACCGTATCCCACGGCTAACTCCGGCAGCACCGCCACCGCAAGACTACTCTCGACTCCGTTCATACTCGTAGCTACCTTTTTTGTGTCCCTCCTCCTCATCGTCTCCTTGCTGACTCTTCCGTCCAGGCCACCGCTCAACCGCCCTGACACTTCCATCTTCCCCAATCGTCATCCACGCCCCCACCGCGTTCTCATTCCCGGTGACCAGTCTTCCCCTCCTCCCAGCCCCCCATCCATTGCCTACTACATTTCCGGATCCGCTGGAGACTCTGATCGGATCCTCCGCCTTCTCTATGCTGTCTACCACCCCCGAAATCACTATCTCCTGCACCTCGACCGCTCCGCTCCCCAGGCAGACCGCGACTACTTGGCCTTTGCTATCAATGCCGTGCCTCTCTTCAGGGCTGCTCAAAATGTTTATGTCATGGGCAAGGCTAATTTTGTGTACTCAAAAGGCTCCTCTTCCATATCTTCCGTGCTCCATGGCGCATCTATTCTTCTCCGCATTTTGAAAAGTTGGGATTGGTTCATCAATCTATCCAGTGCTGATTACCCACTTGTCACCCAGGATGGTATATGGTTCTATTCAAATTACAGTAGCTTCTAGTCTCTCGGGTATTAGATGGACTAATTGGTTTATTAACTAAGTAATTACTGTTTTGCTTACATTAACGTTTGGGTTTTAATCAAGTTTTATTGTTACGTAAGCCACCAATCCTTCCATACACTTCACTTGCATTTGAACACTGTAAATATAGACTAGGGGTTGAACTCAAATAAATTTTATGCTAGAATTTTTGTCCTTATAAATGTGCAGCCTTTGCTAGTGTAATATTGAATTGGGATAGAGTAGTTTAGAAGATTTGCATAGTTATTGCCTTATACAATGTTTGGGTTTCATAGATATTAAGCTGGACTCCTCCTTTATTCATCTGTCTTGTTGATTTTCAGATCTTCTTCACATTTTGTCATATCTTCCAAAGGAGCTCAATTTTGTCAATCACACAAGCTATATTGGATGGAGAGAGTATGAGAATTTTCTTTCCTTGTCTTTTACAACAAAATCATTATAATATTAATATAAACGGATGGATAAAATCTTAAACATTTTTAAAACTCATAATGTTTTAATTATGTTTCATATATTGATTGTCCTATTCATTTTTAGATCTCAGAAGTTGAAACCAATTATAGTGGATCCCGGGCTCTACCTTGCGGAGGACAGTGAGATATTTTATGCAACTCAGCGGAGGCCACTGCCTGACGCTTTTCGAGTATTCAGTGGTAAGCCTGATCATCCTTATACCCTGTGTCTCTGTAGACAGTAAATATGTAAAATTGTTGTTTCCTAGCTCACATTTCTATTTTCTTTCCCCATTCATGATTCCTTCAAAGCTATTTGTTATCCTCAAATCTTCAATAGTTTGGAATGTAAAAACTAAGATATCATCCTGTATAGGTTAACCAACTTAGCTTTTCTATCAATTTAAATTAAGTGCTCGATTGAACCATGAAATTATCACTATTGGTAGAACAATCCATACTTTGTGTGTATGGAAATATAGGTGGATATATTGACATTGATGTCAGTAGAAAGAAAAAGCTTGGAGATTGTGTTAATAAAAATATAAATATATTATGATAATTTGCCTAAAGGCTTAACAAATTTTATTACTTAAGTTCAACTTAGAAAACATCAATTTGGTTTTTTTGACAAACATATAAATGAGAACTATTTAAGTACTCTCCATTGTTACAATAGTTTTTCAGTTTCACACCCTCCACAATACACAATCAAATCGTACATGATTACTAATGCCAAAATGATTGCTTCTGTGGTTCAGACTCTTAGATTAGCCATTGACCTTGCAATATTGGTAACAACTCAGTCCATGAAGATAGCTCAATATATAGTTATTCATATGATTGCAGTATGCTTTTATACTTCTTCAAACTGTCTCACTATGAATGGGATGGTGCAGAGTTATCCCATCTGTTAAACATGAGATCCTAGCTAGGATCGGTAGGGGGGGGTGGAAGATCATAATTCTGGAAGATCGTCACTCGGATCCTAAGATCATATAGTAGTAGCTAATACTCCGTATGTAAATTTTATAAAATGTATGAGCGTGCAAAAGTATAAACACTTAAATTTTAAAGAACACATATAATAACATCTAAACAAATAGTCATAATCATAGTTCATAGGAATAAAATTTGTGAACATCCGAATAAAAAGGTAACTATCAGGTTGAAGACAAAGTGTTGACATTGAACTTCAAACATTAAAAAATAAAAGGGTTATTAAAGAAGACTCGCTTAATCATTTACAGAGTATAATTGACGTCAAGGAGTTACGGAGAAGAAGGTTGAGTAATGAGTACTTGAAATATAAAGAGGTTTTGGGGACACAACTTCAAGGTCTGAAAGACTTCTTATATGCGCAAGAAGAGATTGAATGCCATAGATATTTGTAGTTTGAAACAGTCACATTCATCTTTGTTCTCTGCAAATTTCAGAACAATATTTTGATTTTTTCGTCAATGGGGGCTGATGACTTGACTCGACTCGACCACATTGTGTACGTTCAAAGACCCAAGGAGTTTCCATCCGCCAATCCTAGGGTCTAACACGATGATCTCAGCTGCGTTAAGCAATTCCCAATTGAATAATGGATCTTGTTTGTACACATACCCATGAATAGTAATTAGTAAGACCGTAGAATACTATGATCTAACTTGCGATCTAATAACATTGAAAACTTCTATGTTTGAGTCCTGCTAGAATAAATATCCGATCTCTAAATTTTGCTTGTATTCAAATCTAAAGCTTGTTAATTTTGTTTGCAATGCTCAAACAAGTAGAGCAGTTCAACCACTTGGATCAATAGAGGGTTTGTCATTCCATGTGAGTGTCCTCTAAAAAACAACACATGGAGAGGCAGGTGAAGTCTCTGAGTAGGGACCCGAATGGTGCACTTAGTTAAACCCAAAATTATGACAAACTCGGATAACGACAACAATGACACCAAACCCAATAAAATCCCATAGAGTGGGGTCTGGGAGGGTGAGCATTTTAGAGCTTGCCTCTACTTAGGAAGTAGAGAAGTTGTTACCAAGATGTGCTGGCAACAATGACATGCAAACGAGTCCCAGATGTGGCTGGGAATTGATAGTGGTTGCTGGTAGTTCATGGACAATTGTTTTGTGGGTACTGCCTTAATCAACCAAAACAATATTAGGGTTGCCTGGCAAACAAGCTTCAAGCCACATGGTGGAGCTGTAGTGGAACCCGTCATTGCATGCATATACAAAGAATATTCCAAGTCTGGAAACTCCTTGTAATGGCTCATCTTCTGTGATTTCGGCAAAGAAAAACTGATTTCGCAAACCCATTCCCTCAATATCATATGATCTGTCAATTTCATTTTTCATGCTAAATCTTTGGCCTACTATCTTTCCTAAAATATATTAGAAACAATATAAAAAAATAATATCACAAAAGTAGTTTTAAAGATATGAATAAATTATCTGAATAGTCCATTATGACAAGCATTTCACATTCCCAATATAGTCCTCTATTTTAAAACTTTCTCTTCGTGGTCCTCTATATTTGAAATCATTCCATAGTTTTCCCTTTTGAGGAAATGTTCCCAAATATAGAGGACCATAAAGAGTATTTTTTTTCCACATTTTATTCAAGAGGAATGGCTATGGAATGGTTTCATATATAGATGACTAAGAAGAGAATGTATTGAAATGGAGGACTATATTGGGAAACACCCATTTTATAAAAGATAACAACAAAAACAAAACAACAAAGCCTTATCCCACTAGGTGGGGTCGGCTACATGGATCAAACGACGCCAATGTACCCTATCAAGTTCCTTATCTGCAGCGAGATCATTCACGCCAAGTCTTTTTTGGTCTACCTAGTTCTCTAGCAACATGTCTATTCACCATTTGATCAACTCTACATGTCCAAACCACCACCTTAGACAGAATTCCACCATCTTCTCTATAATAGGTGCCACTCCAATTTTAGCTCTCATATCTTCATTCTTTATTCTATCCATATGCATATGACCACTCATCCATCGAAGCATCTTTGTTTTGGCTACACTAACCTTGTGTTCATGTGCACCCTTTGTAGCCCAACACTCTCTTCCATACAATATAGCTGGTCTAATCGTGGTATGGTAAAATTTTCCCTTGAGTTTTGAAGGTATTTTTTGCCACATATAAAGCCCGAAGCATTCTACCATTTTGACCAACCTGCTTGAATCCTGTGGTTTACGTCATCCTCTATTTCTCCTCCATTGTCTTGAATGATACACCAAGGATACTTAAATCTCTTCACTTGTGGCATAATATTTTCTCCAACTTTTACCTCAATGCTAGTATTTCTCATTGTGTTGCTAAACTTGCACTCCATATATTCTGTCCATAGTTTGTAAGGCGTCGCCTAGGCGATAAGGCGCTATCACTGGGACGCCTTGTCTGCTCGCCTCGCCTAGAAAACCATAAGGCGACCAGGCGCTCACCTAGGCGTCGCCTTTCCTCGCCTTAATTCGCCTTACCTCGCCTTGATGCCTTGGGCCACTTTAAAATTTTAAAAAACTCATTTTTTAGGGCAGCCCATTTCTTTTAGTGTAGCCTAATAGACTTAAACTTATCTTCTCTCTCTCGGTCTTCTCTGTCAAGCTTCGTTAAAATGTATAAGACCTATATATACATATATAAATATATAAATATATATATACATATATACATACATATATATATATACACACACACACACACACACACATGTAGGTATGTATGTCGCCTAGTCGTCGCCTAGGCGCGCGCCTAGTCGCCTAGGCGATATGAAGGTGCATTGGCGCCTCGCCTCGCCTTGCCGCCTTACAAACTATGATTCTGTCTTAGTGCGACTAATACACAAGACGTGCAACTCCAAAGCCTGTCTCCACAGATCCAACTTCCCATTCAAACCCTCTCATGATTCGCCCATAAGGATGATGTCATCGGCAAAGAGCATGCACCATGGTATGGTTTCTTGGATATGCTCGGTAAGCATTTCCAAGACTAGTGTAAAAAGATATGGGCTTAGCGATGACCCTTGATGTAATCTAACACCTATGGTAAATTCCCCTGTTACCCCACTTTGGCTTCTCACGAGTAGCACCATTGTACATGCCCTTATTTGCACAAACAAATGCTATCCTTACACCCTTTTTCTCCAATACCTTCCACAAGACTTCTCTTGGTCACATGCCTTTTCCAAATCAATAAAAGCCATATGTAAATCTTTCTTTTCACTTCAGTACCTCTCCATCATTATCCTCAATTCCTCACCAAGTATATTGCCTCTGTAATTGATCTTCCTCGCATACAACCAAATTATTCTCAACCTTTGTTTTACACTTTTACCACTCTTGCCTACAACTTCATTGCGTGACTCATGAGCTTGATCCCTCTGTAGTTTCCACAACTCTGAATACCTCCCTTATTCATGTAAATAGGAACTAAAATGCTCTTCCTCTATTCGTGAGGCATCTTCTTATATTTTAGAATCTCGTTAAAAAGCTTAGTTATCCCCAAATGCCTTTTCCTCCTAAACCTTTCCAAACCTCAATTGGGGTGTTGTTTGGGCCAATTCCTTTGCTATTCTTCATCCATTATAGGGCCTTCTTAACTTCAAATTCTTGAATTCTTCGGTAATAATTGAAGTTTTCGTCCTCCTCCCTCATGTGTAGCCGATCTGAGCATGAGAGATTCACATGCTCTTCATTAAACAATTCTTTGAAGTAGCTCTTCCACCAGTAGTTTATGCTTTCATCAGAGACCAATAATTAACCATTCTTATCCTTAATGCACTTAACTTGGTCCAAATCTCGAATCCTTTTTTCTCGACCCTTAGCAATCTTGTAAATACATCTTTCCCCTTCTTTCGTACCCAACAATTGGTAAAACCCTTCATATGCTCTCGTCCTTGCTTCACTTACAGTCACTTTTGTCTCCTTGGCTATCTTATACGTCCCAATTTTCCACATCACGGCATAAAGACCACTTCTTAAAGTTTTCCTGTTTTACCTTTACCTTCTCTTCCACATTGGTGTCCCACCACCATGATTCTTTGTTTCGTGCATTAGTGCTACCAGTTTCTCCAATGGTTTCTTTTGCCACCCTTCTAATAGTATTTGCCATATCATACCATAACTCTTCTTCTCTGTCATTTTATAAAAGTAGAGAAATTAATCTAAATATACTCCCTCTGTCCAT